ATTTCCCACTAAAGCTGGAACCGTAAGGAATGACACCAAAAAGTGCCAAAGCGCGGGGCACCCATTGGCACAGTGCAAGATACTAAATGCACATCTTTGATCTACATGATTAAGCTTGACACTTGTGCAAGTGCTATAAGTAAAATACAACTAGGATTTAGAAAAAGCAGCGGTCAAAAGAAAGTCAGGAAGGACATCGGCATTAAAGTCCTTGACTGCTCATTTTCAAAATGCCAAATGTACAGAAACCTTATTGGCTAACAGCATCCATTTTGCTCCAGCCCTCAAACATACCAGTCTAGATCTGTGGCCAACATCCCCTTCAGCTACGGCTTTATGCCCACTTGTCTCTGAATACTTTCAAAATCCAACGGGTTACGTCCAAGCCTATTTTTTTCACGCCTCTTGGAAAATGCGAGCGGGTCCAAACACATATACCTTACGTAATAATCTGTCAAGTGCAAAAAAATTGTTTGCTAATTTTGAGAGCATACGTACCTACATTAAACTTAATATATATGGAGAAGGTGAAATGCCAGTTGTAATGTTAAATACGACTAAGCACTGCTGGTGCATAGGACCAAAGCCAAAATGCAATGATGGGTTGCAGATTTTCATTACTAACTGGAGGACAGAGGTAACGCAACTAAAAGTGTGGCAGTCGGAAACATTTGTTGTATAACGTCAGAACAAATGGCACCTTAAAAACACAAAGGAATACCTCAAAAAAATGATTTATCAGTTTTTCACTGCCTGCTGGCAAAAAGTAGCGTTTCAGTCACTGATAAAATTATTCAACCTCTAGACGCCCGGTTCTAGATATAACCTTGGGAACTCTTGGTGAGAAGTAGACAGCTTTTGTGAGCCTGCTAAGTGGAGGAGCAATAAATACAATAGGTATCACAAAGTTGCGGAAAGTTTTCTTTTTTTTTCGGAACTGCTCTATTTGAAGACTGTTGATCAAATAGTGCGATTGTGGAAAAGGCAAAAAACGATTATGTAGTTTGCCCATACTCCACAGAATTAGACTGAACTTCTGATAATGAGTAGTGAAAAGACACTGCACATAAACCTCTTCAACGATAATTAAGTTGTTGTACAAATAAAAAAAAAAAGTAATAAATCTTGTACTGAAACCTTTACTCGCTCAAGGACAGCTTTTCTTACCTTTCATTCCGCATATGGCCTTCGCTTTACTGCTTCAACCACATGCCCCTCAATTGTGAAATAGAGAAATTTACGTCAAACTAAAGCGCATCTGGACTTCAGTAGGATGGTAAAATGCGCTGTGCAAGACACTTTCCAATCACTATTGCTCAACCCAGTTGCTTTAGATAGCTGCTGAAAGTGCACAGCTCAAAAATAATCCTCAGGTTACGTCCCCCTGTTCCTGTCCAAAAATGGTGCGACCAACAATGCAAATAATTCCAAAACTCATGTCTCAAATTCCCCTTCCCAATCAGAGTGCGTCTAACTCTCAACGCTATTTAGACATCTTATAAATTTCACTACAGGTACATGGAAAGCAGTGGATCTGTATAATGGTAAAATGTTTTAAGCAACTTAGAAATAAAACAATCACATATAGATAAAACCCATCACATTTATTAATCAAAAAAAGGACCGCTTTAGAGGTTGAGTAAATGTCATTTAGTCTTAAACATAGATTGTGATTCCAAACCTAACCCTGTAAGAACACATTAACGATAAATTACATTCAATAACTCGTTTCCCAGTTAAAACAAAAGAACAGTAATAACAACTGTGAAGGCACAAGAAGATAACTCTCAAGAAATCTAAAAAACAAGTAACTCAAACAGGACTGCAGTGTAAACATGCCATTGGCCAAATAAAACGACGTTTTCAAAAATTAATAAAAATGACAGACGTGAAAAAATTAGCTGACTGAGCAAAAGAAAAAACAAACTATCAACAACAGTTTACGGAAATCTACAGTTAATCTGGCCACATTATTCCATTGGTAGATCTATGTTTTTCTTCACTGACGACAGGTTACAACAATGGTGAGAAATAACGGGGAACACGAAAAGCATAACCCGGGAAAACAGGTTTCAACAAGGCACATTCTTCGATACTATATTACCATGAGTGAACGTTTCTATGAAAGAACCAATGAAAAAGTTAAGGCCCTTCTTAGGAATTACAGAAAAAGAACGACCCCAGAAATACACAGCCACTTCATCGATAATAATTTTAAAACATCACAGTAAGAAAAAATAATAAAATGTAAAGATGGAAACTTCTCAAAAATTGTAGCAGGGAATGGCGTAAAGGCACAATGACGAAGTAGTTAAATACAAAAAAAAAAAAAAAACTCCCATTCAGAAACGGCGGGCTCCGCCCCAAACTCCGCTTACGCTCCCGGTAGTTTGAGAGTTACCCATTGGTGGGAACTGTTCATCTGATTGCATGTCCAGCTGCCAAGGAGCACCTTTGATCTGTACTTCAACTGGTTTCGGTGGCGGAGCGGGTTCTGGAAGGCGCTGCGCAAGATACTGACCACGCTCATTCCGATCCTGAAATGTTTTGAAAGCAGTGTAAACTCGCAGTTCCAAATCCAAATATTGATTAAATAGTTATAAAACAAAATTTCCAGTTGCCTGTAGGTAATCCTCTTCCATTCCACGTAGACGGTCTATACAATCAAAAACAGAATCTTCATCTTTTCCGGCAACAACGACTAAATTAGGATCGGGATCTGTGCTACGTGGGAAGCGGATTTCAACTTGATATTCATCCATTATCTAAAAAAAATCAACTCATTCCTCACAAAACTCATTCTCAGGAAGTAAGCAATCTAGGTGAAAGCGAATTTGCAACTCAAAGGAATATAATTATTCTCTGATAATTCAACAAGGAAGCCTAATATTCCATATTTTACGGCAGACTTGTTTACTTAGAATATTAAAAAAACTGTTAACAATTTATTACTAAAATTAACTCTTATGCGACCTTGAGAACTACACCATAAATACGCTAGCAAAATCATGTGATGAAATAACTCCCAATGTGCAAGAACTACTGCTTTTAAAATTTAGATTGGAACTCATAAGCTATACTGTACCTATCCACTCCCCTTGCTGAAAACAAATATTTTGGCAAATAAATAACATTTATGCAGCTTAAGAGAAGTAAAATTTCAATTACAAAGTAACAACCTTCCTCACGTTGCGACCTTTCAAACCAATGAGTCGCGGATGAAACGACGCATCTAAACTAATTTCCTGAGCAAACAAAGACTGGGACTCATTTATTATAGCTTCAATTTCTTCTTTACAAGCGATGCAGTTAGCCTCATAGCCTAAACAGTAATTTTTCAAACAAAGACCTAGAATTCCAAATAAAACAGTAATGTTTCACAAATATAACTTCAAACCGATCATATATAGCTTTAACTGTAGTAAAAGACTAGCCAATACAGTTTTGAAAAATGAACTACAGGCTCCTTTCTGTAGAAAAATGTATTTTTTTTTTTTTTCTGCACTATGACAAAACTTGAGAGCCACATAATATGAAGGAAAAAATTACAAAGCTGTGAAAATGGAGAGCAAGGAATTAAAACACTTGCCAGTAAGAGTAATTTTATCCATAGCTACAGCATCTTTGTCAGGAAATGAAATCTGAACATTGTGCCTATTACGTAAGTCACTTACAACATTACCACCGAAACCTATAAGACGGGTATGGTATTCGGCAGGCACATTTACTTCTAGTTTGAAAGAGCGACGTTTCTGAAAAGCAATCAGTCCACAGCAAAACTGAAGGGAGCAATGAAGAATTTCATTTAGAAAACAAAAATCTTCAAAAAATTTAATAAAGACCGAAGACCTGAATTAACTTACTCTGTCTTCTGCAGCTTCTTCAAGCTCTTCGACGCGTTTCAAAATATCTTTTACTGCAGCTTCCACGTTTTCCGCAGTTCCAGTAACAGTTACTTCATCTGAGTTCTTGTCCTGCTGCGGAATCGAAATATTTACTTCATGCATCTGCATGAGTCGACGCACAGCCTCAGCACCTCGTCCAATGAGCGATCCATGATGTTCTGGTGCCACATGAATC